AAAAAAAAACCCAAAAAACAGAAACTTGCACTCACACAGACAGACAGGCATGCACATATACAGGCACACATACAGACACACAGACAGATACACACACACACACACACACACACACACACACACACACACACACAGACACACTCTTCTTTCCAAGTCCAAGCACCACGATCCTCTCAGAGGAATTCCTTTCTGTCACCCAACTCTCCAGCCCCTTCCAAAGATAGGGACTAATGTACTACAAAATGTGCAATGGCTTTTCAGAATAAAAGTCCTGTCCCTGACTCGCAGTGTTTGCCAAGTTCTTTGGTGTAAATACTCCTACCATGTCTGATTCCCAGACTTCCTTCACTGAAAATAACCGAAGGGATCCCTGAAGTAGCAGTAGTCAGGCATTTCTCCTATACAGACACCACAGACAGAAACAAGCCCAAAGGTCAAATAGGAGTCAGATTTAACAAAATGACTAGGAAGCAACACTATGTCATATTTAGTTTGAATTCTGTGTATGTGTGTAGGTGCATGCACCTGAGTGAAGATGCCGGAAAAAGCCAGAAGACTTGGAGCTCCTGGAGCCAGAGTGACAGGTGATTGCGGGCCACCTGACGTGGGTGCGGGGAATCAAACCTGGGTCCTCTAGAATATTTACTTTTAACCTCTGCACCCTCTCCAGTCCTGTGGTATTTCTTTTTCTTTCTTTCTTTCCTTTTTCTTTTGATTTATTTTTTATTTTATGTGTATGGGTGTTTTGCCTGCATGTGTGTCTGTGCACCATGTGTGTGTCTGGTGCCTGAGGAGGTCAGAAGAGGGCACCAGATCCCCTGGTACTGGATACCCTGGTCCTAGAGTTATAGACAGGCATGAGCCACCATATGGGTGCTGGGAATTGAACTTGTGTTCTCTGCAAGAGAAGTAAGTGCTCTTAATCACCAAGCCACTCTCCAGCCCATAGTATTTATTTTCAAACTCAATTTGTTTAGTTTTAACTTTTCACAATTTTGGGCCTTTTAAAAACAACTGTTTCTGAAAAACTCTTGAACATTTAACATTTGGTATCCACTGGTCAAAGTGTGACAGCTCCAGGCCACCCCCAGTGACCCACACTTACCCACACAGACAGACAGGCTGTAGCCTGGAAGCTAAGGCATGTGGGGGAAGGTGCCAAACGTCTCTTTGATATATTTTCTCGCTATTCCAGAAATAAGAATTGCACAAGATACAGTACGGTGAACTGAAAATGGTTATTTATTTCAATCTCAAAGATCCCTAAACTGGAAATGCTCATGGAGGCCAGTTCCCTAACCAGAAACAAGAGCCCATCTGTGGCTGCTTTTCAGGAGATGGCATTAGTCAGGAGTGTGTTGGGAAATGTATGGCAGACTCGAACAAAGCTTGAGAAGAGGTGGTTTTTTTTTTTTGTTTTTTTTTTT